CCTTTAATAGAAATGTATCAGGCAGGACTTTGAGTTGCTTTCAGAATTGCAAGTCTGGTTTTGCAAAGATTTGCAAGGCAAAGACAGCTAGCTGTTCTCAGTCCCCACAGAACTGGATTGGAGCTTGAGCATCAAGGCTGACCCACCCAGGACTTCACTCCACCCCTGCGTGTGTCAGGGAGAGCTCCCACCCAGAGCGAGTCGGAAAGCCCCATCCTGGCACACGTGCTCTCACGACGGTCTAACGGCTCCTTTCTGACAGTTTAAGCCTAGACAGCTCACTGGGACAGGGTGTCCCCGGGGCCGTCAGCCACCTGATCACCACAGGACAGTCAATGTGGGAAGAATGGCCAAACGGCCCTTATTGTTATTATTTTTATTTTATTTTATTTTATTTTATTTTTTACTGGGGAACAGCCATGGTCATTGGTTACATGTTGCTGTCATGCTACAATGGCATAGTTGACAGTGGCTCATGTGGGGATCGAACTGGCAACCTTGGTGTTATCAGCACCACACTCTTAACAAACTGAGGTAACAGGTCATCCCCCTTATTTTATTATTACAATAACAGTAAACACATTGAAATCCATTAGCCTCAGGAGGTTATTCACTGACAGAAATGTTTGAGAGTCCTCCCTGGTTTCAGCAGTTGTCCAGTGACAGCCCTTAGCTGGGCGTTTGACTGCGGGGTACCATGCCAACGGAGGAAGCGGCGTGTGGCCTCAGGTGGCCTGGTGGGCCGCTCAGCCGAGAGGAGGGGGCAGTCGTCTGCTTTAGGTGCTCTGACGGCTTTCCTTTTTCCTTCGCCTTCAACCACAAGTCTCCGGTGAGGCCGTTTTGGCGCCTGCCAGAGGGCGCCTGACAGCAGTGGAAGCAGATCTCCCTTCCTCCAGCTGTTTGGTCTGGAAGACCGTGCTTTTCAGGCACCTTTTAAATTAATTGCGACACCGCTCACAGTGGCTGTTGTAGGTCTAGGCTGTGAGTTCCCTGAGAGTGGGCAGCTGTTTGGTGGGACCCCAGCTGCCAGCAGAGTTGAACCCACATTTCCTGTCCAGCCATATCTACAACTGTGGTGTAAAACCCACATTTTTGTCTGGCTATGTGTTGCAGGCCCCAACCAGATGGTTACCAAGCCACATTTGCAAACCAGACTCAAAATTTTTTAGAATAGGAGTCTCTAAAAAATGTTTGGGGAGCCGGCCGAGTGGCNAGATAAGCAGGGCTTGAAATCAAGGTGTTTGACAGGCTGGGAGCTAAAGCGGCTTGAGGCCCCCGCGGCCCTCCCCAGGCAGCTGGGGGACAAGCTCTCTGGGCCTGAGTTCTGCACAGCGGTCAGGCTCTCACGCTCTTTCCGAGTGTAATGTCCTATGACCTTGGGGAGGTCACTTCCTGGGTCAGAAATTTGAAGCCTAGGAAACCCAAGGGGCCAATCCTTCCACCCAGACGGGCCCACCGAGGCTGCCGCCCATTACTGCTTCGCTGTGTGTCTGCGGGTGCCAGGCCTCCCGCGGCTGGGAGACAGCTACACGTGGGAGCGAGGGAAGGACGGAGCTGCCAGTGTAAAGTCGTGGGTTGTTTAGAGACAGAGAGAGAGAGGCGTGCACATGTCCCGGCTCTTGGCTTCTGAATTTCCCGCTGCTGAGAGGAACCAGCACAGGTGGCTGCTTCCAGCGTGGAGGCCATAGGAACCTGCCTAAGGGTTCCCCTGAGGAATCAGGTCACTCAGCTCCGGAGTCAGTGTCCTAGTCCACTGAAGAAACAGGGCTCCGGGGGCCATGCTAATGCAACAGACTGAGAAGAAAGATGGGGAGAGGAAAGCCCCTCCTTACGGCAGCTCAGCGCGTACAAGGGCGATGCAGCTGGAAAACCGTCCCTGCAGCTAAAATTAGGAACAGATCCTTATGTGATAGGTCCCACAAGTGACGTCTCAGTTACAAGGGGAAACAGTAACTTTCCAGGGAGCAGGCTGCAGACGCCACTTAGCCGAGGGATTGGCTCCTGTCGCCGACACTGGGGCAGACGGACGTTGCAGGCCTCTGGCCGGGCCACACCGGGGACATAGCCTCACTGCCAACTGTAACCATGAGGAGACCTCAGACCCAAAGTGAGGGACACGCTCAAGTCAGCGGGCCTGCACTGTTCACAGGGTGCCAGTTAGGGGGCCAAGGGGACCCTGGACCCAGGACCCTGGACAGCGGAAAACAAGCTCTAAAGGCCGTTGTGCACAGTTGATGGCTGGCATGTGGACGGCGCTCTGGGCCGTTGTGTAGGATCCGTGGTAAATTTCTGGGGTTGATGACTGGAAATTAAGATAACGTCCCTGTTTTTAGGAAGTACAGCCTGCAGTGTGTGGGCACAGAGGGGCAGTGTCTCCACCTTACTGTCCAGTGGCTCCAGGGCAGGTAGTGATGGGCCAGTGGCCGCCTCGTGCACCTGGCCAGGGTGCGTGGAGCCCCTGGTGCCTTCCTGCAGCTAAGGGCTTCCCTGTAAGTTTGAAACTCCACCGAGTGGAAGCCAGCACCCTCCTTCCCCAGCCAAGAAGAAGGGGTCCTCGGTGCAATGGCAACCCCCTGAGCCAGGAGCCCACGGCTTCACATTTGCACATTTCCCTTGTTCGTAGCGCCCCAGCCCCTCTCCTGCCACTCCACCCAGACCTGAAAACCAGAGCCCGGCGGGGCTGCCCCAGGATCGCACTGCCAGTGCGTCCCAGGTCCACTGGGGGGCAGTGTGTGCTCTTGGTCCTACCGCTGGCTCCACCGGGAAGCTCGGAACCTCGGGGGGACCTGAGTCCACGGTGCAGCCTGACTGTGCCCTCTGCGCCCCTGGGTGGGGCGCGCTCTGGTCCTAGCCTTAGCCTCCAGGACTTCTCCGTGGAGCCCATCAATCGCTACCCTTGGGAACAGGGTGGTCATTGAGACACTTCTCCCTCTACTGCTTGGGTCGGCACCTGGACAGGCCGGGGTGGGTGGCTGCACCAGGTGGGAACGACGGGGCTGGAAACCACGCAGCCGTGCAGCAATCCCCAGCTGGGCCTCGGGTCCTNCGCGCAGCTGGAGTCACTCATCGTGACTTGTGAGTCTCACTCCGCATAATGCTCACCCATCACGTGTAGCTCATCCTTTTAATGACTGTGCAGGCCGGGCGAGCGTCCCACGTGGTCCATTCACCTGACGGACACGTGGGTGTCTACCCCAGGCTGCCCTGCACAAGGCTCTTAAGCCCCTGTTTTCAGTTCTTCGGGGTGTGTGTAAGGGTGGGATGTCTGGGTCTTGAGGCCGCTCTGTACGTGAGTTTTGAGAAGCCACCAAACCGTTTTCCATGGCAGCCGCACCATCTACTTTCCCACCAGTGGTATGTGAGGCTCTAACGTCCCCGTGTCCTCACCGACACTTGTTATTTTTGTTTGTTTGTTTGTTTGTTTATTATGGTCGTCCTAGTGGGTGAAGCGTATCTCTCTGTGGTTTTGATTGGCGTTTTCCTGATGACAAATGACATTGAGCTGCTTTTCATGGGCTTGTTGGCCGTGTGTATGTCTTCTTAGGAGAAGTGTCTGTTCAAGTCCTTTGCCCATTTGTCTTCTATTGTTGAGTTGTAAGAGTTCTTTATCTGTTCTGGATACACGTTCCTGATCAGATATACGATCTGCAAAATTTTTCTCCTGTTCTGTGGCTTGTCTTTTCACTTGCTTGATAATGTCCTTTGAAGCACAAATGTTTTTAATTTTGATGAAGTCCAGCGTACCTGTTTTTTCTTTTCCTTTTTTTTTTTAAATTGGGGCATTGGGGGAGGGGAATGGTGTTGGGGAATTGGGGAAGGGGACTAGCCAAGTTGTTGTTCTTCAATCTTCATTGTGGAGGGCGCCAGTCGCCATCTGGTTTCCCGTCAGCAGCTCGTGGCCTCTAAGCTCAAGGTGCTGTGTTACAATCTTAGTTGTGGGTGGGCGAGCCACCATCCTATGAGAGAGTCGAACCAGCAGCCTTGTTGTTAAGAATGCACGCTCTATCCACTGAGCCATCCGGGCGGCAGCTCAGCTCAAGGTGCTGAGTTCAGTCTTAGTTGCGGGTGAGCGTAGCCCACAATCGAACAGGCAGTCTTGTTGTTATACCAGCTGAGCCATCCTGCCACCTGTTGGCCCATGTGGGAATCGAACTGGCGGCCCTGTTGCTCAAAGCCCACGTTCTTAAGCCAACTCTTAACCAACTGAACCACTCGGCTGGCCCGTACCTGTTTTTTCTTATTGCTGTGCATTTGGTGTCGTGCCATCCTGTTGCCTTTTGCACACGTTTCTCATAGGCAACACAAAGAGATTTTACATTTCTTTTTAAGTCCAGAAATGCATAATTACACCGACCTTTAGACTCTGCATCTTCTGTGAAACAGAACGACTTCCGGGAAACACCATTCAGAGCTCTCCACCTGCTGCAGGGGGCAGGCGGCGCTCCAGGAACCAGTGCCTCATCCTGACTGAAAGCACATTTTTACTGTTGCAGTGGACGTGAACTTGACCTCGCTCCTGTTTCTGTTCATAGGATCATAGATCTGTACAAACATCGGCGGGGTCTCCACATCTGCAATGCTTCTGGGCTGCCGTTTCCAGCCCCACCCCACTGCTGGAATTCACAAGCTCGCACACACTCAGACATGCACACACGTGCACACGCATATGCACGCACTACAATCAGGATAAACGTTTAAATAAGAGCTTCTCGTTTTCTCTTGGAAATCACAGATGCTTTGATCATCCTGAGGAAAATGTCCCCTCAACGTGCTTTTTGTTTCTTTGTTAATTAACGGTGTCTGTTTACCAGATCCCCTCTTGTTAGCGTGTGTGTGACAAATTCAAAGAATACAGTATTCATCAGGAATCATTACAGGGGTCCCTGTGTTTGGTCTTCTGAGGATGAAACTACCCACCTCTCCCTGCCTCGCTTCCCCGCCCTCTGCACACTGTCCCCCGGGGGTGCCACTTCCCTGACCAGGCTCTCCACGGTCCCCAGGTGCTGCAGGAGCCCCTGGACGAGGGTGCTGTCCGGCGCGAGCTTGCCCATGAGGTGGACCAGGTGTGCCTGGAGGTGTCGGAGCTG